GGACTACAGGCGTGCAACACCATGCCCGGCTAGTTTCTCTATTTTTAGTGGAGATGGGGGTCACAGGCTGTTCTGGAATTCCTGAGCTCAAGTGATCCACCAGACTTGGCCTCTCAGAGTGGTAGGATTACAGGCATGAGCCACCATGCCTGACCAGGATCTGAAATTTTTAAGGTAGTCAAAATATTTCCAAATAACTTAAGAGAAATATGTAGCCTTGTACTTTATACCCCACTAGGGGCATAAAAGAAACCTACTATGAGGAATACCTGGAGTTTAACCACTAGAGAAACATTTAAGAAAAAAGTACTTAAAATTCCTAAAGTAGACATGGACTCCGGACACTATGGCCAAGCAACCTGAGGACTTAGCCTCATCTGTTCAAAACATCCCAGGTCAGAACTATATCCCAGTTACCTTTAACATGAGTATCCTCATAGAAAAGAACATTATCTAAATTCATTTGACAAAATCACAGTAAAAAATAGTTACAGAAATTCACAAAATCCAATCTTGGTATCAAAAGTTTAGAGTTTCTAGCTATTTTAACTATAAAAAAATACTGTCAACTCTTCCCTGACTAGTCCTCAGCTCAGCTAATGCTTTCACTTTTTCAAAACAAATAATTCAATGGAAACAAGATTACACTAAATTTTCTAAACTAAATTTTCTTCAACAATCTCTGGGTACAAACTTTTTACGGAACCAGGATATTGTGATACTACATATTTGCCCTTTTTTACTTCATCTTCACCCATGGTATAGCACCTAACATATAAAAAGGCTATTAATTTTACAAAGCACTTTCAAACATAGTATATTTCTAAGAATCAAAGTAAGTTAGAATTAATTTCATTCTAGCTAAATTGTGTGCATATCAGGCACTTGATTTCTCAAGGTCTTTAAGAAGAGGAGAAACATACTGAATATTTAAGAAATTGGGGATCACAGGCCAGATTACAATATACCCTAAGTCACTATACTTCTATCATATTGTGTGACCCTTACCTATAGAAGCAGGCAAATTGGGAATTGCTCAGATAAATCCCCAATATCTGTCTGCATTGAGCCAACTGTTACTACAACTAGAGAAAACAGTCTCACTCCAATTAAGTCCCAATTAGTTAATAGCGTAAGGGACAATGTTTTAGCTCACCAACTTTGAGTAACACAGGAGCAGCACATAAACTTGTGCTATTCCAGTTAGCTAGACACAAGAAAAACAATTCTAACATGTATTTGAGACACTTAAGTAAATTAGCATGGCACAAACCACTTGCTCCTAAGACTTCCACAGTTACCTACATGTAAAATGCTAATTATCATGGAATATGGCTAATCCATATTTCCTTTCCTGATGCTATTCCTGGTAACAGAGCTTCCCTAATCTGGTTAGAAGGAATTCTGAAAACAAAACTGCATATAGATCATGGATGTATAATACAGCAGCTACATTTTGGTAAGAGTACACAACTGTGTACAATTTGATCAGCAATACAGTTGGCCCTCCATATCCATGGGGGGTTGGTTCCAGGACCCCCTCATGGATACCAAATACCAAAACCTGCAGATGCTCAAGTCCCCTATATTACATGGGCATAGTACAGTCAGCACTCTGCGTCCATAGACTTGGATCCACAGTTAGTTAAATTAGGATGTGAAGCCTGTGTGTGGATATGAAGGGCCAGTTGTATTCAATTGTTCACTATAAAAATAAGCATTATAAAATTTGCGCATTCCTTAATTACTCACCAAAACAAAACTAAACACATACACACACGCACACAAATTCACACAGGCCCAGGTCAGACAGATCCAGAAATATGAAAGAAACTTGAGGGGAAAACAACTTTGCTACCTATCTACATTTATACCCACACAACTCAGTAGCTGTGCCCACCTTTTCTTTTCCCTCCCGTGACCAAATACTTTCATGAAAGGCCATTTTACTAGTGTGCTGTATCCTATCCCATAATTATTTCCTTGTAGCACCATCAACTTCTTTTTCTGTAGTTTTGTTTTGTTTTATTTTAAAGAGTCTCACTTCGTCACCTTGAGTAGAGTGCTATGGCATCACAGCTCACAGGAACCTCAGACTCTGGGTTCGAGTGATCCTCTTGCCTCAGCCTCCCAAGTAGCTGGGACTACAGACGCCCACAATGCCTGGCTACTTTAAGAGAGAGGGTCTCGCTTTTGCTCAGGCTGGTCTTGAACTTCTAAGCTCAAGCAATCCAGCCACCTCAGCCTCCCCGAGTACTGGGGATTACAGGCATGAGCCACCGCACCTGGCCCCTTTACAATTTTTTTATAACTAATTAAGAGGCAAGGTCTTGTTCTTACTGAAACTGATCTTGAACTCCTGAGCTGAAGTGATCTTCTCCCCTTGGCTTCCCAGTGTTAGGATTACAGGCATAAGCCACTGTGCCTGGTCATCATCAACTTTTGCTCTTTGATGGATCACACCCATCCACACGCTATCATGCTCTGGTATCTTTGTTAATTTAAAAAAAAAAAAAAGGTATGCCTTCTACTCCCACTGACCCATTTCTCATTCTCAGAGCTTGAAAGGGGCCAGGCACAGTTGGCCCCTTTCAAGTTGCTCATGACAGTAATCCTAACACTCTGGGAGGCTGAGACAGGTGGATCCCTTGAGCTCAGGAGCCAGGAGACCATCCTGAGCAAGAGCAAGGACCCTGTCTTGACTAAAAGTAGGAAAAACTAGCCAGGTGTTGTGGCAGACATCTGTAGTCCCAGTTAACTTGGGAGGCTGAGGCAAGAGGATAGCTTGAGTCCAGCAGTTTGAGGTTGCTGTGAGCTCTGATGCCACAGCACTCTACCCAGGGTGACAGAGTGAGTATGTCTCAAAAAAAAAAAAAAAAGCTTGAAAGGATTTAGTCTCTCACTCCACTTCCTCTCTTCTACTCTCTTTAGCCTCCCTCCTCCAATTAGACTTCTGTTCCTACATTCAAACTGTTCTTGTGGAGGTCCCCAAAGACCAAGGTCATCTTTCTGTCCTCTCTTTATTGATCGCCTTAGAGACCATCAGGAAATTTCACTACTTCCCCTCTTCCATTATGAAATTACCTCATTTATTATTTCTGTCTTCCCTGACTAGAATGTAAGTTCTATGAAAACAGGGACCCACTGAAAATGTTTACTGTGTCTTTCCTGCCACAAAAAGACTGTATAGAAAATGGAAGCAGGCATATATTTGTTGAATGACCTTGCTAATCTAGAAGCGAAGCTAGTTCTCAGCTCATAAAGGCAATAAAATCTTTGGTGATAATCATGAAAACAAATTCCAACATAAAGACATATATAAATTTCAAAGGAACTCTCTCAATGGAAACTGACAGGCAATTTCCTTTTCCTGTATCTTAATAGCTCAAATACCATAAAGTCTATAGCAACTGCCATGATATGAAGTGCATTTGAAGAAAGACAACACAGACAGACACGTCTATTTATACACACAACAGAAAGTCTGTTCAAACACACCAAGAAATAACATAGCATGGAAAGGAGACCAGTATAAACTCTTGCCCATATCTGTTTCTCTAGGTACATGCACTGGCTCCCTCTAAAGTTACAAAAGTATCAAAGACGTCTGTATTTTACTGTTTGCCACGTGGAAGGATGGAAAGGCACTAAAGATACACATTAACACTTTGTCCTACCTCTTCATCAAGCTAGCTCCTGCTCGGTTTTTATGAATCAAGGCAGCCTCCTCCTCAACGCCACGTTGAGGTGCACATCTCCCGCCCTCCCACGTCTCACGGGCCTCCGTATCCCGGGGCTAATCCGCTGTCATATACTTCTGGAGAGATGTGGCTGTTTCCCTTGACACTCTTGGTTTTACTAAGACAAGAGCCTGGTCTTGGTAACAGCCGTACACCCGATCCACTGTCTGGCACGAATAAGGCGCCGTGAATATTTGCTAACTGCATGAATGAGAGAAGCCACACACCATCTTCCCCGGGAATGCCTAGAATCCCACTATGTCTAGCTAAACTCTGCCTACATAGCCTAGAGACCAGAGAGCGAGCTGGGACCCAAAGGCCTGGGTTGCCTTGAACGGTTTCTCTCCAAAACGTGGGCACCGTCACATAGCTCGCAGTAATGGGGGAGGCCTAAGATTTTGAGATATATACCAGTCTTGAAAGAGGGATTGAGTGAACCCCTAGCTGGACTCTATCGGGAGGAACCAGTCTGGGTCTGCAAGGGTCGGTAAAGTTAGCCAGCACGTTCAGGACCCACAGGATGGGAGACTTCCTCATGTGGGTGCGAGGGATGGCAGAAGACGGAGGTCCCTCTCCGAGAGAATCTCCCTTTATTTCCAGGATGTGGCCTGGGGTAGTCCCCTCTAAATTCTGGTCTCAGTAGGGTCCCCGGACCCTCAGAAATAATCCAGAGATGATGTGAAGCTCCAGAGATCCAGCCAGGCCCAGAGATATTCCTGATCCGGTACCGCTCAGGACCTTCCTGTCAAAGGCTCGCCGCCGCCGCCCTTACCTGAAGGCGGAGGAGGAGCTGCCCCAGCCGCTGCCGCCGCGCCCCGGCCCGCCCTGCCAGCTCAGCGCCCGCGCCTCAGGCCCGGGGACCCAAACCAACGGCGACCCCTGCACTCCAGGTGGAGCCCGCTGGCTCACTAGCTCCACTGCAGGCAGCACTGTAGACCTGCGGTCCCTAGCCCGCCCGCTCCTCAGGCAGCAAGATCGTTTCCCTAAGCAGGCACGACGGGGCAGCCCTGCTCCCGGGGTCCTCGCAGAGAATGGCCGTCGCCATGGAGACGCAGAGCGCGCCAGTGGCCGTTAAGCCGCGGAAGTACGGTCCAGGGAAGTTGTCTGAGTCGGGTCCACCGCGCCCGGCGTCTAACAGCACCGACGGCGAAACCTTCACGTGCGCGCGATGCTGGGTCAGGGTCCCGGAGGCCGCCACCTCCGCCCTCGCGGGCAGCACGCCGGGTTACCACCGGCAGCGAAAGCCCGCGTCGCCTAGCAATGGTGCGGGGCGGGGCCGTGGGCTGTCCTGGCCTGTCGGAGACATCCGCTTCCGGGGCCGCGGCCATCGTGTTCTCCGGGTTGGCAGGCTCGCCGGGCGACACGGAATACCGGACCCGGGCACCTACGACCGCTAATTCTCAGTCGCCCTCTTCCTGCAGCCTGCCGCTTGCGCTCTGTTGCTCGCCTCCTGGGCCAGTCATGTTGGAGCATCTGAGTTCGCTGCCCACGCAGATGGTGAGGGCGCGAGTTGGGATCTATGCATGCTGCTCTTGAGCCCGACGGCTTCAAATCTCTCATCGGACCACCGACCCCAGCTGCGCGGTTTCTGGCCCAAATGGTTACAGTACATTGTTTTGTCCGAATTGCCTCTGGGGTCCCTTTCTCTCTTTACGGTCCTTTAGAACACTTCAGTTTCCCCCAGGAAATCCGGAATTTGATACTGGGAGGCGCCCCTTATGTTGATGTTACCTTGTGCCAAACCTGTGAGGTCAGGGCAGAAACTGCGCCTCTTCGATGGTGTAACCAATTCTTCTTTGCTGTCCTTCACTCCAGGACTACAAGGGCCAGAAGCTGGCTGAACAGATGTTTCAAGGAATTATTCTTTTTTCTGCGGTAAGTATTAATTTTACATTTAATTTTCTTTATTTCCCCCAACTTGACTGTGTTTAATGTACTTTGTTTGTCTCTAGATAGTTGGATTTATCTACGGGTACGTGGCTGAACAGTTCGGGTGGACTGTCTATATAGTTATGGCTGGATTTGCATTTTCATGTTTGGTAAGAATTTTGTGGGTACTGGCAACTTTCTGACTCAGTTTGGCTGGTAGTGTGGGCTGGTTGGTTGATAGGGTCTGTGGCTAATTTGCATACATAACTTGGAGTCAGCTTTTCCCTCATCCTTCCTATCAGTGGTTCCACCTGAAATCACTGGAAAACTAGAATGCCAAATAATGTCAGATAGTGTGAAGTACATACAAAAATAGAGCTTCTTTCCTTTGGCAGCTACTCCAGGCAATATATATATATATTTTTTAAAGATAGAGTCTCACTTTGTTGCCCTCTTGTAGAGTGAGATGGGGTGATATCTCACAGCAACCTCAAACTCTTGGGCTCAAGCAATTTTTTTGCCTCAGCCTCCCGAGTAGCTGGAACTACAGGCAACCACCATAACGCCGGCAATAATAGATAGGGTCTCACTCTTGCTCAGGCTGGTCCCCAACCATGAGCTCAGGCAATCCACCTGTCCTGGGCCTCCCAGAGTGCTATGATTACAGACATGAGCCACCACACTCAGCCCAAGCAATAATCTTAAAGTCAAAGCTAGCAGCAATTTCTTTTTCTCACACTGCCCCCTCACCTTTCTTTTAGGTCTTAAAGCCATATGTGTGTAAACCAAGCATGTTCCCATCATCTTACAGGGCATGTTCCCACACCTTTCTGGGCAGTGGCACGGTTCTTTCATAGGAATATCAGGTTCTTGTTTGTTTTTTCTTCTAGTATATGAACTAGGGAACTAGGCATTCTACAAAATGGTTTTTAAAAACTTTTAATGGCTATAAATGATGCATTTTCTTTGTTCTACACAGCTGACACTTCCTCCTTGGCCTATCTATCGCCGACATCCTCTCAAGTGGTTACCTGTTCAAGACTCAAGCACAGAAGATAAGAAACCAGGGGAAAGAAAAATTAAGAGGCATGCTAAAAATAATTAATTGGAGTTTTCATGATCAGCACCTGCTTTCATTTCCTGTGAGATGAGCTAAATTGCTTTCTACCCAAAATATAAGCTAAACCACCTATGCTCTTACTAAACAGCTGTGTATAGATTTAGTTTCACTTCTAACCTGGGGGGGGGGGGTTGACTTATAGTTCAGACCCTCTCTTCATAATATTCCTCTGAAATATGGAACAGAAAACACAAGTATGTTGTTTCTTTCAGGTATACATAAATAACAGAATAAATGCCTCAAATCTGTAAAAAGATAGTACAATTTAACTATCAAAGTTTTATAATTCATTATGAGTCATTAAACCATATTAATGTTTCCAATTAAAATGCATAGTACAAGTTTATATTTAAAGGGTCTATTGTTCATTGTTACGTAAGTAAGAGTATTAGTATATCAAAGTTAGAAGGCTCAGAGTTCTGAAAGCATTAGCACCATTTTTTTTTTTTTTGTGAAACAGAGTCTGTCATCCTGGGTAAAGTGCTGTGGCCTCATACCTTACAGCAACCTCAAACTCTTGGGCTTGAGCAATTCTCTTGGCTCAATCTTCTGAGTAGCTGGGACTATAGGCACCTGTCACAACACCTGGCTAGTTTTTCTATATAAGCAAGGAAAAACCATTTAATTCATGATTTACTTGAAGTGGACCAAAGTAAACACCCATAAAGGTGTAAGTCCCTTTTAATTTTTCTAGAGAATCAAAGAGAAAAATGTGTTTAAAGGTCTTATGTTAGGGGGTTGGAGTGGGAGGGTTTTTATAGGTAATGCTGTGTTTCACAGTACCAAGATATAGGACTTCCAAACTATACAGCAAAAATCCAGAAAAGATGATTTTTTTTTTTTTAAGACAATCTCTGTCATCCTGGATAGAGTGGCTAGTCATCAGAGCTCATAGCCACCTTAAACTTTTAGGCTCAAGTGATCCTTTTCCCTCAGCCTCCCAAGTGGCTGGGACTTCAGGCAACACCACAGTCCCCACTAGTTTTTCTATTTTGACTAGAGACATTGTCTCTTTTGCTCAGGCTGGTCTCGAACCCCTGAGCTTAGGTGATCCACCTAAGCTTGGCTTCCCAGAATACTAAGATCATAGGTATGAGCCATCATGACCAGTTGGAAAGATTTAAGGTCAAAAAAATTAAGAAGTTCTATTTGGGTACAGGTGAATTTGTCTAAAGGTTGAATATAAATGTCTTAGCATAACAATTATGAGAAAGACATGATGGCTATGTTGGCCACCTGGATGAGAGTTTTCCAAACTGCATATAGAAGTAACACACTGTAGCCTATGAGAGAATTAATGTACACAATTATGATCTAATTAAAAAAAAATGAAAAAATAAAATAAAATTAAATTAAATTAAGAAGGCAGAATTAAGACCAAGCATAAGTAAGTATAGGATATGTAATTTAAAGTCAAGGCTTAGAGCCTGTAGCTCAGCGACTAGGGCACCAGCCACATACACTGAAGCAAGCAGGTTTGAGTCCAGCCAGGGCCTGCCAAGCAACAATGACAACTACAACCAAAAATAGCTGGTGTTGTGGCAGGCACCTGTAGTCCCAGCTACTTGGAAGGCTGAGGCAAGAGAATCACTTAAGCCCAAGAGTTAGAGATTGCTGTGCTGTGACACCACGGTATTCCACTGAGGGTGACATAGAAAAACTCTGTCTCAAAAAAATAAAAAGTCAGAAGCTCTCAGGTAGGGTTAAAAATCAAGTTACCTCATGTTCTCACAATGATATCTTAAAAACATAAGGAGCCCTCAGCAGTGAAAAGGTGAGGAATTTGGACATGCCCAAGATAAGTACTTGGTGTGAGCTGCCACACCCTGTCCTTGTTCCCTTAAAGAGACTGCTGAGAGAAGAGAACCACGTAGGGGAGAAGTCCTCACCAGCATTCCTGGGGAATGAGAAGCTATGACTTCTTGCTCCTAAGCTACTGTGCCAGGGCCAAAGATGGAAGGAAATCCCTGGCTCACTGTGGCCATCGCTTCTTGGGCAGATACATGCAATTCTTCTGACTTTCGCGTTCTTGCCTTGGTTTTAGTTTTGAGTGTCTACTTTTTATAGGAAGAGGAAACCAAGCAGATACTGATACAAATGCTTATATAACACAAGGAGCAAGAGCAAGATAAGGCAGATGGAAGCAGAAAGGATAATGATGAAAAGGTCAAATACAGTAGAACCTCCATAGCTGACTACCTCCCTACGTTGACTACCTCAAATTGACCTAATTTGCATAGACTAGACACACATGTACGTGTCAGTACATTAGGCTTAGTTCCTTATGTTGATCACCTCTGTATGCTGACCAATCTGTTACAGTCCTTTGGGTGGTTACCTTATAGAGGTTCTACTGTACTTAATACTAGAAAGCATTAAATGATGCAAAGTGGACATGTCATAGCTGCCAAGATGTTATTGTTAAAAATCATTGTATTGGCCAGGTGCAATGTCTCACACTTGTAATCCTAGCACTGTGGGAGGCCAAAGGTGGGTAGATTGCCTGAGCTCATGGGTCTGAGACCAGCCTGAGCAGGAGTGAGACCCCATCTCTGAAAAAATAGCTGGGCACTGTGGCCAGCGCCTATAGTTCCAGCTACTTGGGAGGCTGAGGCAAGAGATTTGCTTAAGCCCAAGAGTTTGAGGTTGCTGTGAGTTGTGATGCCACGGGACTCTACCAAGGCAACAAATTGAGACTCTGCCTGAAAAAAAGAAAAAAAAAGTCATGAACTGTATGAAGCAGTTTGTTACATGTGTAAGAATTTGGCAAAGCTACCCTCTTAGTAGACCAGGAAACTAACTTACAGCATTTGGCAGATCAGGTAGACGGAAGGAAATTCAGTCTTAATGTTTTTGAAATCAGTTAAAGAAGATGAACAATGAATTAAGCAGTCAAGAAAAAAGAACCACAAATTAACAAAAAGACAGTGGATGAAAACTGAATGAATGTGGGTATTTTGTTGTTGTTTATGACAAGATCTTACACTGTTGCCCAGGCTGGAGTGCAGTAGCACAGTCATAAATCCTTGGGCTCAAACAATACTGCCTTAGTCTCCCAAGCAGGTGAAACTACAGGGTATGTGCCACCATGCCAGGATATTTTTTTTAGAGGCAGGGTCTCACTGTGTTACCCAGGGTCATCCCAAACTCTACCTCAAACAATTCCCCTGCATTGGCCTCCCAAAATCTCTGCCAAAGTGTTGAGATTACCTGTAATGAATGTTTAAACAAAATGAAAAATATACAGCATGACAATAAGAAAAGCATGGGGGAAGAAAATAATATGTACTTTATACCAATAAGTTATTATTGTAAGTGAAATTATTGATTGTCCAGAAAGATGTAGAGAAACATGCAAGAATCAATGAATACCTCAGGGAGACCCAACAGATGGATACATATTTGCTCCCACTTTGGGAACTAGACTACAGTTTTACAAATTGAATTCTACCTAATCTTCAAAGTGAAAGTAAGATCTCAGAAACTTGGCTGTGAGTGTTGTAATGGCAGGGACTATTACTGCTTTATTCACCAATATATCCCTAGCTCCTGACAAAGCACCTGGCGCAGTAAAAACCAAAAATTTGTTAACTGTGCACATTAAGTGACTACAAAGGGAACACTTCATTAGTGTATGTATAATTTGCAAAGTTTGGCCAGGTGTAGTGGTTTACACCTATAATCCTAACACTCTGGGACACTGGAGCAAGTGGAGGATTGTTTGAGCTCAGGAGTTCAAGACCAGACTGAGCAAGAGTAAGACCCTGTCTCTAACAATAGTCAGGCTGTTGTGGCAGGTGCCTGTAGTCCTACCTACTTGGGAGGCTGAGGCAAAAGGATTATTTGAGCCCAAGAGTATGAGGATGCTGTGAGCTATGACGCCATGGCACTCTTAACAAGGGTAAAAAAGTTAAGACTCTATCTTAATGATAATAATAATTTGCAAAGAAAAAAGGTGCATTTTTAATTATAAAAACTGAAAACATTTCTGGAACAGTATTGATTTTCAGAGCCCCTTGAATACAGAAGTGAAAATTTACTCATCAAGACTTGTATTTAAGGCCAGGAGTGGTGGCTCACACCTCTAATCCTAGCACTCTGAGAGGCCAAGGTGGGTGGCTTGCCTGAGCTCACAACTTCAAGATCAGCCTGAGCCAAAGTGAGACCCCTGTCCTAAAAAAAAAAAAAAATAGCTGGGCATAGTGGCAGGTACCTATAGGTGGGAGGCTGAGGCAAAAGAATCTCTTGAGGCTCGTTGCCTATGGCTCAAGTAGCTAAGGCACCAGCCACATACACCTAAGGTGGCAGGTTCGAATCCAGCCTGGGCCCGCCAAACAATAATGATGGCTGCAATCAAAAAATAGCCGGGCGTTGTGGCGGGCGACTGTGGTCCCAGCTACTTGGGGCAGGAGACTTGCTTAAGCCCAGGAGTTGGAGGTTGCTGTGAGCTGTGATGCTACGGCACTCTACCCAGGGGAATAGCTTGAGGCTCTGTCTCAAAAAAAAAAAAGAGAATCTCTTGAGCCTGAGAATTTGAGGTTGCTATAAGCTGTGATGCCACAGCACTCTACTCAGGGCAACAAAGTGAGCCTCTGCCTCAAAAAGAAAAACAGAACACTTGGTATTTAATTTTATAGAAACTGCTTATTTCCTAACTGGGCATTCTCTATAGTCATACATTTAAAATATGGAAAGACAATCACTACATGAATGTACACGAAGACCAATTTCAAGAGATGAACATTAAATATATCCAAAATAACTAAATAGTCCTGGAATTCACTTACAAATTGTTTAGCTAGAAAGGAATTAGTGTTTAAGAAATGTTTTCAGCGATGGAAAAATAAAACTGTGTAAAACATACTGATACACAAAACCAATATATCTCTTAGTTTTATTTTTTTACACCCTAAACGAGGTTCATGTTAAATGACAATAAAATATTAAAAGTCCATCAATGTATAAAAAAGAAATTCACTTGCTTAACTACTAAAAAGAACTTCACATTCTTTAAATGTATTCCCAAAACTGTGAATTGACTTTTTAAAAAAATAACTTACCAATTATTCCCTAAGGTTATTAACAACAGCAGGTAAGACTATTTCATTTGTTTCTCCTATAGCTTTAGTGCAATATAAAACCTCCAACCTAGTATTTTATGGTCCTGTTTTCAAGCTAATTATTACCTTAAAAAAAATAAAGTTCTAGATAGAAAGTTAGTGGCTTGAGGCTCAGTAAATGGTAACCAAACACGATAGATTTGTCCTCATAAGGAGAATATGAAAGCCAAAAGTTTTTCTTTTGTGAGCTTGCTTCATATTACAATGTTCTGTCCAT